CAGTCCTTGAATCCATCAAGCTGATCCTCAACAGCTTTGCAGTCAACTTTCTGATTAGAGCCCTGAGAAAATCCATCCATGTGATCCACACCTGCCACATAAGCATTTGGTTCATCAACCATGTCAGCATATTTTCTAGGGTCCTGTTTCTGTTTTTCACTTATTTGTCTCGATTTCCTCTTTCCCTTCAACTGCCACTCTGCTGCACCTTTCTCTATCTTCTGGTTAATACTAGTTGTCCGAACATCCACTGATCTGGTAAAACCAGACTCATTATGCCCCCCAACTTCAGCTTGTCTTCCCATATCACCAACCTCAGGCGTCTCAGATGAACAAGATGCAAATATTGGAGAAAAATCTGTCAGAACCAAAATGATCTATTAGTCTCCAACTCTCCATAGAGGAAAAAATATATCGTATTGCAGCAAATATAAGAGAATAAAGAAAACGGAATCAGGTTCGAGGAGAGACTGCATACACATCGAGTCGTTACAAACTGAAGGTTTTTGCAACAAAAATCCTTAAATAAAACAATCACACAAGGAATACCTTCTTAGACAAAATGAACAATGCAAAAGGGAGCGGATAAGGTACTCTAAACTAGCCTTGTTTCTAACAAATCAGTTGTACCAAAAACAAATTCTGGTAGAAGAAGTGCATATAAAAAAAAGGGGGGGGGGATTCCTTAAACAAGGGGAATCTCGTGTCTTCATTGTAATTAAACTCAAGTCTCCAGGCAAATTGTGATTCAACAGGGACTTCTAGCAGCACAATTCATGTTAACCGTACAAATTATGCCCCTAGTAATATGCAGTTTTAAGTTCAGCTCTTTATTGTGTGTTAACATAAGCATCAATGTGTTTAACTTCCAGTCCAGTCGCACGCTCTTGACTCAAAATTTGTAGGGTTAGAGAATTCATCACGTCCTTGTATCACCAACCCATACGAAGAGTAATTCATTTTCGTGGCACACTAGTACAAACATGACAGCTTTATGTAGTTTTCAAAAGATATATATAAAAATCTTATCAAGGACCAACAATGATCGCAGCAATACAGCACTTGTGACAACAAAAGCTAAATGCAGGCAGGAATATTCCAAAGGATCCACACAAAACCAACATTATGCAGACACATTAGGAACATAGTGAACAATAAAATTCATGAAATAACAAATAATCTAACTCATCCATAATCCGCCCAGCCAAAAGCAACATACACCAAATAAAAGCAAAATCAATACAACAACAATTTGTAAAAGCAGCAAGACATGTTAGGCAGAAAATGCATTAATAATAAGAAATACTATAGTTTATAAATGTATAATCAATAATACCCGCAGATGGTTTATCCTCTCCAAGAAATGGCACATAAAATAGCCTGTCAGAAGATTCATTCCCAGCCAACTCTGGTATGCTCGAAATTTCACTGTCTTGTCTTATTATTAGTTTGAGAAGCATCAGCAGCAAGTTCTGAAACATTTAACGAGACACCATTCTCACAAGAAATTCCAGTACTATCTGAGTTGTTATTATTGTTGTTGTTGTTGATTACTGCAGAAATACTTTTCCGTGATTCATTAGAATCCATTCATGAAACCTTACTGTCAGTGGGTGAAGTACTTGAGCTTGGAAGTTCATCACAAGCAACTGGAACTGACATCATAGCTGTACTCTCCAAAACCTTGGTCAGTGGTCTCCGGCGATTTTTCCTTTTCAGGATTTCATTAACATTTGCCACTTGAGATCTCTTCCTTTTCAGTGATGATGAATGGTTTCTACTACCATTATTGGGACCCACATTAGCCAGGCAGTTGCTAGTGTTTGGTCCACAGAATGAACCATTCTCTTGTTGAACAGACTCCAGAAATCCCACGGCCCGGACTTTTCTCTTTGATCCTACACCCATGCCTAAATTCTCAAGTCCTTTCATTAGTTTGATTCCTTCTGCTCCATCATCCTCTGAATCATTTGGGGTTTTTCTTCTCTTTCTCATCATAGAGCTCCCCTTAGAACCATTAACAAGATTTGACTCTTCAAAGGATATGCCAGATTGTGATAATTCAGGAGCTGAATTCGAGTCATCAATGCCCTTTACGTTGGGCTCATCCATCAGAACCCCCTCCGAGAAAAAAAAATTCTGCTAGAAGTGTTCTAAAAACAATATGATCTTCAAAAGTCAATCCTTAAAGTCCGTTTCGAAACAGACCCAAGCCTCCAAAATAACCGAAAAGCAGTCAACTGCTTGAACCGATGCATACACCGTTCAAAACCTGAAAAAATCAATTAAAAAAACAGCTTATTCAGCATGCGACTAAAATCGTCAAAGAAAACCCCCAAAACCCAGAAAAGAGGAAGGCGTGGAAGAGAGATAAAACCTAAGTTAGCACTAATTTATGCAGGAAAACTGATTTAGATGCTAAAGACAAAAACCCCATTTTAAACCAAAAAAGAAAAAGAAAATAAAAGATCTGAGGAACTTTTTTTTCTTTCTTATTGAAAATTACTGTGTGTTTCCCTTTCAACTATTCAATTAAACGCCCATTTTTTCTGGGTTTTTCTTTCCATACTTGAAAACACTTGTAAGTGCTGTAAGCTTCATCTTTTCATGAATGATTTGTCAAAAAAATTCACTGGGATTCTCTTCTATTTCTTCTCTGCAAGTACATATAGGGGGTAGAAGGATAGGAGAAAGAGAGCCTTTTTTCTGAAGAAAACGAAGAACGGGGAAAGGCTTCTCTGATAGGACTTTGAATCATCAAACAAGTTATTAAAATTAGGGTAAACTACTCAGTTTTTACCACTAATGTTTTATAAGTTACAAATAGGTCATTAACGTTATCTTTTATTAAAAATTGATCACTCACCGTTAACATGGGAAAATACACTCGTGGCCTTAACAGCAGTTAACATTGCTTACCTAGATGATATAATTATAAAAATAATCCATGTTATTTATATATTCTTTCAATTTGATCATAATTTTAATAAATTAAAATATATTTATTTTTAATTCTTATAAATAATGATATATTTTTCAAAAAGGAATTCAAAATTTTAAAATTAGTTATAAAAACAAAAAATTAGCTTCTTATAATTTAATTTGTCATTAAATCTTTTAAATTAAATTTTAAAATTTAAAATTTGCGAACTGTTGACGTCGTTTCCTTCTCATTTTCCCTGGGTTCATCAAATGGTAATTCTCTTCAAACCTACTTACAACACTCCCCAACTATTCATACCCTACGGCTCTACTTATTAATGGTTTATGCATGTATTTCTTATTTTGCCTCATGAATCAGGGGAGCAAAAATCCAAGAGGTTAGTTGTTGCACTCGGAATCAACCTCAATTTTGCCTTTCTCATACTTCTCGCATTTGCACTACTTTGGCACAGAAAGAAACGGGAGAGGCCAACGATTCTGAATATTAGTGATTGGTGACAACAACTAAAAAATTGTTTAAAGTGTTTTAATGTTGTCACATGTATGTTGCAGACAAGCAGGAAGAGGACCTTATTAGCCTCGGTAACCTTAGAAACTTCACTTTCAGGGAACTCCAGCTTGCGACGGACAACTTCAGTTCCAAGAACATACTAGGCACAGGAGGATTTGGTAATGTCTACAAGGGAAAGTTAGGAGACGAGACCCTAGTGGATGTGAAGCGGCTAAAAGACTTGACATGAAGTTTCGGGGAGTCGCAATTCAGGACCGAGTTGGAGACGATCAATTTGGCGGTTCACCGTAATCTGCTTCGTTTAATTGGATATTGTGCTACTTCTCGTCTACCCCTATATGTCTAATGGCAGTGTGGCATCCAGGCTCAGAGGTTAGTCCTAGCTTGGCTGTTACTTTTCTCATTCAATTATCATGCCGGACAAGTTGGTTTTTTTAACTTCATTTGTTTTTTTTTTTCAGATTTAGGGATACAAAATTATTATTAAAAAGATTTATGTTGCGATAAAATTTAATTTAAAAAATTTAATGACAAATTAAATTATAAGACGTTAATATTTTTGTTTTTATAACTATTTTAAAATTTTTGATTTCTTTTTTTAAAAATATATTATTATTTATAAGAATTATAAATAAATATACTTTAATTTATTAAAACTATGATCAAATTAAAATAATATATAAATAATATAGACTATTTATGTAATTATACCATCCAAGTAAGCCTGTTAACTACTGTTAACTACTGTTAACAGGCCACGTGTGTTTTCCGTAGCACATGTTAACGGCGAGTGATCAATTTATAACAAACAATAACATTTATGACCGATTTGTAATTTTTAAAACATCAATGGTGAAAAAGAAAACTTACCCAAAAATTAGTGACCATTGGAGTAGTTTACTCTTAAAATTAAAACGAACCTTTTGCTGCCCTTTGGCTTTTTTGGTTGAAAATTGGGAGAAAGGAGGGAAAAAAAGAAAAAAATATACTAAAAACCGACAAGTTAGTGTACTCTGTTTCCGCACGTTAGTAACATACGAATGTTTTCCAAACCGTTGATCTGCACTGGCTGGTGAAATCTAACGGTGTCTAATCCATTTACATTTGAGGGAAATTAGGAGCTTATTCATTTAATTACTTTATTTTCTTGTGAACCCCTAACTTTTCTATCAAGTTTCCTCTTCCTATTAAAATGATCTTTCTAGGATTACAAGATTAACAAATACCATACTTAGGTTTTTATAATAAAAAAATGCGTACATTTGAATTCAATGAGCGATCTTAAGAACTCATCAAACAACTTTAGTGATAAAAAAAAAACGAATATTGTTCTCATCAAATGTCAGGTTCAAGCCACTGCAAAGTGTGAGAACGTTGTTCAATAATTAAATTCTAAATATATATTATCTTGTAATCACTTAAGATTATTCCAAAGAAAAAAAAAACTTACTTTTAATGTAATAGACATATGAATTCTTTGATTACAAGGGCGTTTTTATCTCTTCAAATTAAATGTTTCTATTCCAACCTTACAACAGTCATCATATATTGCTCATGCAAATTCCTATTCCAATAAAATTCTAAAATAACAACTCATCCATTTCCATGTCTTGCACTACCCACTACTACATTACATGTATGTTACAATGATAGTTGTCATGTCTCTAATATTTTTTTTTATCCGGTAAGGATTCCGATGACGATACGAAGATGTTGATGAGCTCTGCAGTTTTCCTGCTATGGAGTGAATGAGTCTCCAAATGGTGGTCATTGGTAGTGAAAAACAACAAATTAACTTTCTTTTTCTATACACATCCTTGATCAGTCATGGCTTGAGCTATGGCCAGAAAGGCAGAGATGACTGCTCCATGTAGCAACGCCCTGTTAAACGATAACGAAGAATGAGAGTAAAGAATAGTTATCTTGGAGTTCAGAAGAACATAATATCAGCTACTACCTATCTTGGTCCGACTCTTCAAGTACAAATGTTAGATGTTATTAGGACATGAGCATAGGATATGACCCTCTAAGACTCTCTGAATACATAAGAAAACTAAAAGAGAAAGGAACATAACTGTGTCGGATGTACCGACATGGCACCCAATACTCGCACCTGAGACTGAATAGCATAGGTCACTAGATCTTAGATTCTCAAGCAATGTATTTCCAGCTAATTATATTTTCCAAAGCCTGCCAAGATCATTAGGAGAGTATAAAGAGGATCCCCAAATAGCCACACAAAATAGAAGGGCTATAGAGTTGTTCTGGTCCAGAGCACAACTGTATAATATGTATTGTAGAACTGAATTCGACTTTAGAAAGAACAGCCGGACTACATTTTGGTGAAAGAAACTGGTAATACAAGATCAGCAGCATGTAAAAATTAGTATTTTGATTCATGTACTATTTGCCAAAGGAAAAGATTACAGAGCAAAAAAGGCCCCAGCCTCGCTTTCTTACTACTATGATGGCAGTGTTAGTGCTAACACCGAAAAAAAGAACTTACTTGGGACTTTCTTTCTGATAACCGAAATCATTGCTGCTTTGAGTGCTCTGTTGAATGTCTGCTTCATTGCTTCCTGCACGTCGCAGAGAAAATGATCTTCACCTAATTTGGTCATAACTAGATATAAAGCTAATTGTCGAGTTAAAGAAGGAAGAAATCTAAAGTTATGATTGAAAAAACAAAAGAAGCCAACTCAAATTCGCTAGTATCAAACTGACACTATGTTTACAATTTCAATACTTCCAATCATGACAAAAGGTATTATAAGTTGAACACATATAGTTACCAAGATCTGACTATTTCGACATTTGGACAGATCTATTACATGAACAGCTTCTTGGACAGATTGTATGAACCCAACCTCAAGAGGGTCGCTTTTCAGTGCAGCTTCAATAATTGATCCAGCTGTTTTGGACATAAGAGCTTCAATTGTGGAATTTTTTTTTCCCAAGGAATGTACAAAATGAATTTAAGGGCTAGACAGTTAATCCTTTTGTAAGAGGGAAAAGGAAACAAAAAGCATATCTGCAATTATCAATGTTAAAACATTTGCACGCTAACATCACATAATTAAAACAATCATTCAAAACAAAATTTTATAGAAGAGGTATTTAGTTCATGAAAAAACGAGTAGTAGTTAAAACCTCCAAAGTTCATTCTGAAATTTTCACTGTTAAAGAATTTGGGAGTTGAGAGACCATTGACATCTGCTTACTTTCATCTTGCTCTTCCGCAGAGGGTTCTAGTGATGATAGGCCACCAAGGAGAGGGGTGTTGGCAAATGAAGGGTCATCATCTCCAGGTCCAATTTCCAAATCAATCTCATCACCAATATCCCTAACCAAATCCCTTTGTGCTTGAATCAAATCCATATCATCCATGGAAGGATTCATCCCTAACCCACCACCTGGTAGCAGCATTAGCATGACCATTTCACCCACATCTTAAAGAACTAGGTTTCCTGCCAACATAAGACACCACATATTTGAGAAAAAAGAAATACACTTACTACTGAGCTTCCAACTGATCAAAGGGAAACAAAAATTCAGATTTCTCCCTGAACTAAAAGAAACTATGATATTTCAGTCATCATCCAAAAATCAAAAGAACAACTTGTAATGAATCTGGATGTTCGAAAGCAGAAAAGAGAAAAGTAAAATGGAGGAAAAGTAAAGAACAGAGTAGGGGAAGCTACTCTTGTGCACAGAATTGAGTACAACAAAGTATGGCGTCTATGTATAGTAACCGACGTAATCTGATTTGAGGAAACATCAAAAAGTGAGGTTTTGAGGGGATTTCTCTCCATCTAAAGAACAAATAAGAAAAGCTCCCAAACATGATAGAGTGGTCCTTTCACTTGTTTCCACTCTACCCTCATCTACTCTCCCTCCTTCCAAACATAATGTAAATGCATCAATTGCTTCAACTTCAAAGTATTACATTTTGTTGCATTTCAAACAAATAAGAACACAAAATTCAAAATTAAACCTTCTTTTCATTGCCTAGTGTATACATTTTTATTGGGATGGTTAAATAACTGCTGGTGACTAAAATAAGCATGGAGAACCTATGAACTCAAACCAGAAATAATCTTCAACCTTTCAACAATTCAGGGTAGTAAAACATGGTCAACTTGACACAAAAAGATCAAGCACATAAAAAAACCCAACATTCTTGTATCTAAACTTACTTTCCAACATATTTCATAACCTAACCAGTAATAACCTTTCTGGTTCCAAATAAAAGGATAAGCAAAGTCTGGCAGTAAATTCTATTATAAACACTTCAAAAATCGAAAAACTGAAATCAATCTCAGAGCAAGAAAATCAGCCATTGTTATATAATTCAAAGCCAGCCAGTTGACATAAAAATAATCAATAATCCCAGAACTAAAAGAGTGATGAATTCAGATTTTCAACGTATCCAGAACTTAATTTGGAAGTTCAAGTAACACCTAGAAGCTAAAATCAAGGGGAAAACAAGGAATTACGTTGGTAATGCTGGATAACGGTAACAACTAACAACTTTGATAAGAAAAAAAAGTGGCCCGAATTCCGAAGTCCCTTCAAATACTGGGCACTTTTCTTGTGCCCTAATTCTACTTTCTCGTTTTGTCTAAATTCGGTGGTTTGGGTACCGATATCTCCTCCCCTATCTCTATACCTACATAATATTTTCAAATCTACCACCGTCCACCACTCATAATAGGTAAAAAAATTTAAATCCGCACCCGCTCACTCGAGTATATTCTCAAATTCATCCCCACACTCACTATCCAACTGAAAACGTACATGGCTAGACCCGTCTAACAACAACCTTAAGTTATACATAATCAACAAACAAAAAACAAACACGACCATTAAGAAGCATAATATTAGTCTCTAAAATTATACCTAAATCTGTAATGGTCTAAAATTTAATTGGTATTTAGTTTGCGGGTGAATGTGGGGTGGACGAATGCGAAGCGGGCATATGCGGGGTGGGTAAGGTCTCAAACCCATCACCCACCCACTACCCGCGACGGGTACCACTTTCTAAATCCACACCCGCCCACTACCCACTAAAGTTATACCCATCTCCGCCACAATTGGAGCGGGTACGGTACAGAATCCACGAAATTATACCCGTTTGCCATCCCTATCCTCGGCGATTGATTTCGGTAAAAAGCATATAATGGGATAAAATTAAGGCTTAATGCCCAATTAAGTGCCCAAATTATATATTTTTTGCTAAATAAGTGTCTACATTTTTTTACATATTCGAATGTCTAAATTTAACAAATGTTAACACTTTAGGTGCCTGGACCATCAACCACGTTAGTTTTTCTCGTTAAGTGACACGTGTCACAACCTGATAATATAAAAATTATATATTTTTTTAAAAAAGAAAACATTTAAATTTAGAAATAACCCTTAAACTTAAACATATAAGTCGAGCATATTAGATCTCCCAATTTAATTTAGACCAAGTCAAAGGGGTATTGGGCTTAAATTGGCCCTAGAGTTAAGAGAAAATGGGGATTTTAATTTGGGATAAAGAGTGAGGGACCAAAAGTTTTAGTTTACCCATTTTTCAAATTCAAGGATAGAAACCCCTTTTTATAAGTATTTTTCACATGAGTTACCCACAAATAAAAACTCTTTCATTTTCTCTTATCTTCTGTCTTCCTTTTCTTCCTTAAAACAAGTAAAAAGGTGGAAGCTTTTCGAATCTCAAGCCCAGTTAGAGTCAACCAAGGTAAAATTCTTAACCTTCATCCATTAAGTTTTATTTCATGCCTTTAATCTCAGGTTTTTGTGTTGGTTTTAGAAAATGGGGTTTTGGGAGTTTAAAAAGGAACCAAGTGTTTTAAGATCGTTTTTGGTAAATTTGAGTTATAGAGAGTGTTTTTATGTTAAATCAAGTGCCTTGTTTAGATGGTAATTCATTTCTTGCCTTAATTAGAGAAGGGGTGAGAGAGTTCAAAAGCTAAAGATAAAGGAAAGGTGATTTCCTAGTTGAATTCAGAGAGATTTTAGCAGCCAAGGAAGCCATGTTACACACTCACAACTTCCTCATATCGGTTGTGGGTCATTAGAAATGAGTTTTACCTTGAGAGTTAGTTATAAAGCTTAGTGATGTATTTTAATGGTAAATTTAATGTTTGATGTTTATAGCATGTTCAAAAGCCTTATTTATGACTCTTATGATCACATTAGACTTAATTAATGATTGGAAACCTCAATAGACAATTTGGGGAGAGTTTGAGTGTCAAATTCGTGCCCAAGCAGGGCATTCTAGTCCATTAGTATCGGTATTGAAAGAACAATACGATATTGTTCTTTGTGAAAGTCTAAAACCCAACATTGTATAAGGGCAATATCAATACCCATTCAAGGAGTATTGATACTCGAGGTCCAGTATCAGTACCTAGATGGTCGATATCGATACTAAGGTATTTTTAAAAATATTGAACCTAAATTTGGTATCGAATACTCAGGAAAGTATCAATACCCCAATACCAGAGTATCAATACTTCCTAAACCAAGTAGTATATAGCAGAAGAAAAGTATCGATATCAGCAGGTTGATATCGATACTGAATGGTTGGCATCGATATCTACGGGCAGACTTGGATGAGAAATATGAGAAATGTTATGGGAGTTGAGGTTTCCAAAAGCTTATAATTACTCCCAAATAAAACTACAAGTGAGAACAGTAGTAATGTTTAACTCAAACGTGGAAATGAGATAAAGCAGGGTGAAATAAGACGAGTCTTGTTTGAATGCTCGGGAAACGATCAGAACACATGAGTTCCTTTAGAAAAGCTAGAGGTATCGATGTATAAATGTAGTTCGTATATCCTTAGGTAGTGCATGAGGGACTTTAAATAGACTAACTAGGGCGGGAGGTCCGATACTCGCGAAGGTTGGGATAGTCGAGGGTATGGTGTCCGATGCAGATATTCGGGACATATCCTCGGTAGACTAGAGAAGTGTGTGAGCTCTGAGATGCATAGATCCCTCAGTCGCACCATGATATCTACCATAGAGTAGAGAGTGAGTATACAAGTATACTCATTAAAGCAAAGCAGTAGACTTCATAGTTTGAGCCTTTCAGGGATATACAATTAGTATGATTTAGTTGTTAATGTGGCACTAAGCTAGTTAGCTCAGTGTTTGGAATTTGTTTTCTTATGCAGATTAGGTGGAGCTGTTGAGGAGCTTAGATTGACCGAGTTCCAGACCCAGAACAGATCAGAGTACGTCTCAAGTTTCTGAAGTGCATGTATATTTATAAACCATGTTGGAGTCATAAATGTATTTTAAAGTCAGTATATATTATTATTTTTTAATGTAAATGTTTATTTTGGGAGCTCCTCGGTGTATAGTTTTAGTTATATTTTTACAATTGAATTTATAAAGAAAATAGTTGTTTTAAAGTAAGAGAAATAAGAAAAAGGTTGGTCAGTCACTCTGATGGTTTCGTGTAGTATCATAGCCAAATTTTTAGAAAAATAGAAATTTAATAAAATGTTAAAATTTAGAATTAATTTGGTTGAAATTTAGGGACTAAATTGAAAAAATCAAAGTTGATAGACCATTTAAGGAAGTTTCAGATAATTCAAGGACTAGAACCTAAATTTTACCATTTTATTACCTAGTAAAATAAATTTACCCTAATCGGGTAAACCCTAAATTTCCCTAAATCAAATCTAATCCCTAACCCCACAAATATATTCCCCGTTGAATCTTTTACCGGCCAAATCCATTGTCGTCCGGCCTCCCCAGCCCGAGCCACCACCACCAAAATACTCACCATCGAATGGTGATCAAAACCCAACCCCTGATTCATCGAGAAACAGCGTTGTTCTCCGTGGATTCGACGACGAAAAACAGTCGAAAATCCTCCATCGTCAAATATATCTTCGTCAATTTCGGTCGCGTCCGACATTGTTTCGCATTACCGCTGCCTCCACTACACTCATCAGTGTCGTGCGATCAAAACCCGATCGATTTTGTTCATCGTTGACTCGCCGTCGCCAACCACCATTGGTAAGTTAATGATTGGTGATGGTCTGGATTGGTTTATGGATGATTTTGGATTAATTTTAGATATAATTGAAGCTAATATTGAATTGGGAGTAATCGACTGGTAAAATGGTTCCCGGATGCTACCATACTCCTGCAGTGCGCGTGGTGGTTTCCGGACGTTCCAAGAAAATTCTGGAACCTGTCCAGGAAGAACCGAACTGGGTTGACCTGACCCGAACCAATTTTACCTGACTCGAACCGTTGACCTGATCCGAAACTGTTGACCTGATTCGAACTGTTGACCAGTCAGACCACTGACCTTGACCGGGTTAGATCGTTAACTTTGACCGGTCTGACCGTTGACTTTGACTGAAAAAATCAAAATTTTTGAAAAGACATATTTTATGTTTTTCGACGTCCTTAGCCCAATTTTGAAGTCTGTTTCCTTAAATTCTAACCTGAAAGCCTCCAAATTGACCGTCAAACCTAAATATGCTTACATAATCAAGTGTTTTAATTTTGGAATAATTAAATTAAGACTTGAGACTGGTTAATTGTTGTTATTTGAAGGTATTTGAGACTTATCTGATCGCTCGCCAGCTCGACCCAACTCTTCTTTATCCGTTAGATCGCGTGAGCCGATAGTCACTCGTATGAACCGTGAACTTTATGAATACCCCGATTGGAATATTACTTCAATATTAACTCAGTTTGCTATTAATTAGGTTTGAGCACTGTAGTAGAGCGAGACAAGGCTGGTGTTCAGTAGTTTTGCTGTGTGCCCCTTTTTTCATGAGGTGTGTTCCCTTTGTGCTACCCGGTTGTTTTATATGATTTAATATATGTTTCACTGAAATTTATGATTCAATGGATGATGATTCATGAACTTTGATGGAATGATGCATGATATTTGTTGAAAACATTTTGATGTTTCGATATAACAAATAAAGTGTTAATTAATTTTAAGATTTATATTCGATTTAAATATTATATTCGATTCAATTATTCGAATATCACTAATATTACCCCAAGTTTTCAAATATCAATTTTTACTCCTTACTAAATGGAAAACTAATATTTATACTTAAAGAATTTTTGAAATAATTTTTACAAAGTATTTCGAACCATAATCGAGTCAAAATTAAGTTTTTAATAGGGAGGTACCGATACCTCTTTAATGAGTATCGATACCCCTCAAACATCGAATGCAAAAGAGGTACTGATACCCTACAGGGTACCGATACCCCTTTATATAGAGGTATCGCTACCTAGCCAAAAGGTACTGATACCCCTCATTTGATTTTGACTCCGAGAAATAACAGAATGCAAAATGGGCACCGATACCATGACAGGTATCGATACATCTTTACATAGTAGTATCGATACCCCCTTGAGAGGAATCGATACCATTATTTTTGCAACAGTCGAAATATTTGAATTTTATACAGGTAGTATCAGTACCCTTATAAAGGAGTACTAATACCCATAAGCTCCCAACAACTTTTTGAAGTGGAAAACATACAACAACGGCTCTATTGACTTCATGATCATCCTCAACGTTCAGAATTCATTCAAGGGGTATTTAAACAAGTCTTGAAGCCATTGATGAACAAGAAGAAACAAGTTTTGAGAAATAATTCAAAGAGAGAAAGGCTTAAACTTATTGTTTGAGTAATTCAAGCCAAAATCCATTCAATATTCATTTTGCTTTCAAGAACACCATTTGTGCTCAATTGTATTCATTCTTGAGTGTTCTTTCTTTGTTCTAGAATTGTACAAACATCTTACCTTGTGAGGTTTTTCTGTAAGTTTGTAAAATTTGTAAGTTTCTTTTTGATAAGAGAGTGCCTCAAGAATTTGAGGTATAATTCTTGAGGGAGTTGTAAGGTTACTGTTTGTCCTCAAAAGAAAGACAAATTAGTGAAATTGTGGAAAATCCTTAGTGCAGATAGCTAGGGTAGTGGACGTAAACTTTGGTTGAAAAAGTCGAATCACTCTAAATCGTTGTGCAAATCTTTTCAATTTTCTGTCAAAGCTTCCACCAAAACTTTAATTACTAATTCACCCCCTCTTGGCTATTTCATCTGATCGATTAACTCAACAATATTTGAATGATTGTTTTCACCAGACAATATGATTTTACTGAATAAGGATAAGGGTAAAGCTTTATCAGGAGTTCCATGATATTTTACTGGATTATTACTTGATTTCTTTCCATATTATGTTTTTAATGCACTAATGGGACACACTAAGCCTCTAGCTCTCTTTTCAAACTATTTTACCCCCTTTTCAGATACTTGTGGATAGGCATTCGTATCAGGCACTCGGAGGATCGACACATTCTTGAAGTACTTTTTGTTGTAATGTTTCTATCTTCCGAATTGCTTTCATTATGGTGACATTGATAAGTGTTTAATTTAGTTAATATTTTGATTTTAAATTACCCCTTAATCATTGGTTTTTGTGGCTTATTTATGCGTTTTGATTCATTTTCTGTGTAGGACGTCAGATTATGGAAATTGCATTAAAAGGACATAGTTCTACAGTTTTTTTATTTTCAGAATCAAAGCTGAATTAGTGGGCATCAAACATCTGACGTTACAATGACATCAACACCTTCTAGAAGGTCTAGTCAGGGCTTCTAGAAGAACGAATTGATTAGCCGCACGTTTCTACAATTCGAATTTGAATTAAACTGAAGGTTTAGGAAAATATTTTAAATATTATATTTTATCTTTGTTTTAGGTATTTTAGTTTAAATAGGTGTTAGTATTTCAATTAGGATTTAAGATATTATTTTAAATAGTATTTTATTTTATTTTAGATATTTTAGTTTAAATAGTTTTAAGTATTTTAATTAGGATTTAAGATATTATTTTACGAATTATATTTAGCTTGTTTTTAGGAAATTGAAGGCTATAAATACCCTATTAGGATAAGCCTAGAAACACATCTCTCTCATATGAGAATAAAATCTTTTTTTTCTCTCTAGCTTACTCTCTATTTTTCGCATACTCCTTTATTTTCCTTTAAAATTTTGTTTTCAAATATGCTAAGTATGACTTTGGTCATGCTTAGCTAATTTTCTTTTAAGCCGAAGGCTAAAGCGAAGGCTCAATTCAAAATGTGAGAATTGTAAGCCACTTAAATCACTTCAGATTTCTCTCTCTGTTTTCTGAGCTTACTTTTCAAATCAAACCAATTTTTAAAACTAAAAGTTGACATTGGTCTGGATGTTATTATGGTTAACGTTGGAAGAAAGACTGGTTTATTGAAACACATTCGACTTCCCGAGAATATACTTAGCAAAATTGTTTGCTAAAAGGCACTACAAGAAAATATAACTTTAATGACACACAAACGATGACACACTCTAATTTATGACTTGCAAAACATGTGTGTCATAAAAACAATGTCATGTTTTTTAAAATCTGAACGATTTATGACTTACAATAATATGTGTCATATTTAATAGTCATAATCTAAAAAATTTATAAAAACAGAGTATAATTTTAATTGTGTATCATCTTTAAGAGTCTATTCTAATTTTTTCCCTTTATTTTCATTCTCTCCCGCTTCTTCCCTCGATAATCAGTTCACGCCGCATGCTTCCCCTTTTTCTCTTTTTCCCTTTTTCTCTCTGCATCAGTCTACTAGTTTTGCCAATCACCACAAGGATTAGGGTTCCCTTGAACTCTTCCGCCACTTCCACTGGGCTTTTTAGTGAGTATTAACTCTTTGTTTATCCTGAAATGGTAGAAATCGGAAGAAACTAATCTAACAACATAATGTTGTTTTGTCATTGCGTTGTCATTTTGAAGTTGCTTGGCTATCCAACTGAACTTGGTGCTCTCATAATTCGAAATGGTAAGTGGCTGAGTCTGTAGATTATTGGTTTCTGAAGTTATACCCAGCTGATGGTGTAAGGGGTTTTTTTTCTTTTTTTTCTTTTTTACACAATAGTAAGATAGATCAGTCAGATATTTTTGCTATGTTCCTGTACCTAATTGCTTTGTTGTAATGAATTATTTCTTTGATTGTAAGCATGGACTTTCTTTCTTACTTTTTTTAAGCATGAGTCATTCTGCCATAAAGATTTAGACTGGTTGAGATTACTATGCATTTCTGGAAATAGAAACGGTTCATGAATTGTGAAAGAAATAGATATGATGAATTTTCCATTTTCATTGCTCAATGGGTTTTGGCATTCATTGATTTGTTGATTTATATTTCCCCATCTTTAGATAGCCTTTAGACAAATCCCGATTAAATAAATCTAAGTTTAAGAACATGAATCTTTTTTAATATGGTTTTCTAATATCCATTTTTCTTTTCCTTTCCTTTCAGATGCTGTTAAGTTATTGAAGAAAACCTATTTCAGTGGAGGTTTGTACCTATAAGTCTTATTGATGATTACATATACAGTAGTTGTTTTGTTATTTAACTATAAGTGTTACAGGGACTGTTGCTGCTTCAATCGCTGATATTGACTTTGTCAGAAGACGAGAAGGTGTTGAGGAGTATTTTGAGGATAACACCATTTCATTCCTTAGCATAGCATCAATTCGTAATGGATTTAAAATATTGAATTCCCTCACCACATCTGCAATGTGCCGGTATGAAAAATTTCATTTCTATAACATTGCAAAGTTCAAAGATTGTATTAGGATTATTGAGTTTATTTTCTATTATATATCTTACATCATTGCGAATGTTCATATGATAGCATGTTTTCCTCAATTATTTCACGACTTAATTATTCCGTTTGTTAATGTATTTTCGGTTTCTATTTCCCATGCTTGATTTTCTATTTCACGTCCTTTGTTTTTTTTTACCAATGATAATCAGTTTTTAAAGGTAAAGATATTTATTTATTGAATTATAATAAAATGAAGCATTGCTAGAGGCCTCATTAAAAAACCTCCCTAATCCTAAGTGGAGGAAAAAGAGTGCACCCTAGAAATGGCAACATCGACATAATACTCATCTAACTTAGGAAACATATTTTAACTCCTATTAACATATTGCTACCTCGTCTTCTCTAACACTGTTCTCTTCTAGGCATACTATGTCACTTACAATGTTTTTGAAGAAGCAACTCTTAGATTTGCGACATGAAAATAGAGCAAGTGTCTGCACTATTTATGGCAATTGTGCTCTGAAGGTTAGTTGCATAACTTAAAGGCAATAGATTTCCTCGAATAAGCATTAATTATGACATATTATTACTGCTTCAGATGTACTTGAAATGGGAAAAAATATGGGAATCTTCTCATGTTACTTTTTTTCCTCTTTAAAATCCATATCATAAGGCATTTCAATATTTCAGGTTGAATAATGCATATTGCTTTATGTGTGGGATTCCAATGAAGTTTTTGGCTTATAATTGCTCAGTCTGGTCTATTTGGATGTTTGAAGCTTTATGCTATAAGTTGCTTTGATCGTGCTTTCCATTCTTTGCATTTCTTTTTTTTAATTATTAACCTTTCTTTAAATGTTTTGCAACTCTTCTCATAGGTTTCTATGCATGAATCTAGCTCCATTGTCTCGTTTAACCTGAAAAGACCAGATGGCTCTTGGTTTGGATATCGGGAGGTGGAAAACTTGGCATCTTTATATGCGATTCAGTTACGGGTAAACTCTGAGAAAATGTCTAGAGCAAGCATAACTTTATAAACAAATAGTGATTTGTGTTATGGTTTAGTGACTGCTTGTTAAATGCCTTTTTTTCATATTGTCTTGTATATTCCAGACCTTACAAAGTATTTGGGAAATAAAAAGTATGCAAACACCTTTATATGTTGTTTATAACCTTAAAATTCTTTGGAATAATACGAGGCAACTTTCTAGCTTTCTGCTACTGTATCAATTTATTTGATCTAGGAAAACTGGTGTTAGCTTATACAATGTCCTAGGAAAACTGGTGTTATTGATTTTGATGAATATTAATGCAATAATTGACTACACTTGTGTTACTAGCTTTGTGATGGTAATTCTTTTTCCCTTCCGTTGCAGTTTTGTTTTAGACTGGATGCTTTTGCAATCTTGGTGCTTGCAAAATATCTTGGCTTGTCTCACTCAAATCTTCTTTTTAACTTAGAGGTATGCCTTTCTTTGTTTGATTGATAATCTTTTACTACATTCTAGTGGTTGAGTTATACGGATGTGGTTGATTTACCAGGAAAGAAATAAAATAAGCTTTGCTTTGAGTTCAGGCTGGGCATGTTTGCTGGGATGACAATGATGTAATAAATGGAAAACCAACTAGAGCAGTTAGAGTATGGTTACATGTCTACTTATGAAGTTGATAAGGTAGTTATTTTTTAATTTTTTGGTTACCTTTTGAATTCTGCCCTTTATTTCTATTCTAGAAAAAATAGATGAACTTTTTTTCTTCTTTTTATTGTATTCATGCATCAGCTGTCAAGTGAAATATAACACAGAAGCTGAACTTGTGTTTAGTCTGTTGATTTCCATAGATAATAACATGTTGAGATATATTTGGTGCTTGTTTCTGTTGTTCTGTTTGATGGTATTTACTGACTGTTGCTTTTCCTCCGGACAGAAATTTATTGATTTTATAATAAGTTCCTTTGTATCCATGCCAAGAGAGTTCGAGAAAGGGTACCTACTCAGATCAAAGTCAATTCAATGTGTAATTGAAGGTTATTCAGTGTTTTGGTTCATTTTTATTGCCAAGGAAATGAAAACTATTTGTTAGATTTTCAAGTTCTCATTTGCTTGATTGGCAAATCATTCCTCTGTTAAGTAATTCTATTAGTAATATGGTGTCATTTAGACCATCAAAGAACATATTAATTTGAATGGAACATGGTTTCATATAGATCTAGATGGATTCTGATTTTGTATGTAAATTTATCATTTAATTTTCTTATTTCGTACCTTGAATACATATACTTTTTTAATGTGCCATTATACATATACCACCAATGTACATACTTCATTAAGTTTTGCACGGTGCATCACTGACTTTTCTTTTAAGATGAGATACCTATTTCTATCATAATTTTTTGTATGAAAGTTGCAAATGACATCAAATTGTCTTCATTAAGTTTTGCACGTTGCAGTTGAGAAGGATGCCAATAATGAGTTATCAAATAGTTTCTACGATGATGCACTAGTTCATCTGCCCCTAATAAGGTTTCATCTGCTTTCAGATGTGAAGTATTTGTGGCTTTAATATCAGCACAGTTTGTTTTAGTCTCATTAATTCTTTAAATAGCGGGCCAATTAAAGTTCTTTGTAATGAAAATGTAGTTTTTGAGATTATATTATTGATGAAAATGACTATTTTACAAATACTTCAGTCTCAAGTTACCTGTACCTATTTTATCACACTTACTATAGTCATGAATTTGTAGCTTGACATGCATTACTGATGATGCACATCATGATTAGCTTGGTAATTGTCCTACAAATGTCTTGTTGTAATGAATTGGTTTGTTTTTATTGTGTTGCCTGTTTCAAGACTATTAAGTAATTTTTTCACTCTTTCTTGTTGCGGGTCCCATGCTTGCACTGTATTGTACATAGGAAGCTTGCAGTGCATGAATTTCTGCCTAGCTCCCCAATACTGGAGGTATATACATGAGAGATTTATGGATTGCTCTGCATTTTTCTTTCTTAGGCTGACTAGTTTTCAGTTCAATACTTCTAATAGGTTCATTTCAACTCTTCCTTTCAACTCCCATATTTGATTGTATGAAACTGATCGACGGGTTCACACTCAAATAGACGATGTTGCTGTCGGGAAACTATCACTAAATCTAATAGGTTTAAACAAAGAAAGTTCATCTGTTTTTGGCACTCGACTTAGTCAAACTTTTAAAAACTTGCCACCTTTCACTAACTACATGCCTCTCACACTAGAATATCTAAACACTGTCTCTCTTGCCCCAAAAAAGGATTATCAAACAAACATGTATCCTTAATCGTATCCATGCAACTAGGGGAAGTTAATGTCTGTAAGCATTAAGAAAGCAGCTTTGAACCTTCAGCTTTTTCTTTTCTAAATAACTTCACGTTGTATTGCCGATTGATTCATGGAGTTCTTCAACTACCTATGGGCTCACACTTGATGGTTGATGAAACACAACTAGAATCAGGAAGCCTTAGCTCTATTGGAATTGAGAATACAAAGTTGCTGAAAAATCTGATAGAGTTTCAAAAAGTAAGTTGTCACTTGGTTTGTTGAAACATGAGTGCATGTTTGTGCATAAATATAATAGACCAAGGAAATCTAATATTGTTCCTTCTTATGTAATTGTATCATTTCAGCATTCTTTTGCATCTTCTGAAATACAAGTTGCAGAAGCACTGGAAGCTTGGATATGGTATCTGGCTACTGTTTGATCATTATCGCACTCAATTGGTTCAGATATGCATAAGGTATGAATTGAAACTTGGGAGAATTGCACTTAGTAGTTCTCTAACTTATCAAAGTTCTGCAGAATCATAACTAGTTAACAGACTTAATAGTATGCAATGAATCTTCCAAGTTGTGTTCTTTTTACTTAGTAGACAAGGTGTGAATTTGTCTATTGTCGGCTTCACACCACATAAGATGTACAAGTATGGAGCAAATGGTGAAACTGATGATATGTTGGAATACCATGCTACTTTTGATTTTTCACAAGACTCCCCTTTAGTAGAACATGATGATGATTTCTTGTGTACACGCCCGAATGGCGAGGGTATATTAGTAGAACTTTATTATGCCGTGATATTTTGTATCAACATATGATTACAATATTTTTGATAACTTAATGTGAATATATTGTATGCAAATGGATTTCTTATATATAATATGATATATATATATTTAGTATTATGAGGCATTAAATGTTATTTAGTTTGATTATTTGCCAATCTACAATATATATATATATATATATATATAATAATTTACGAAATACAATCACGACACACAAATGTGTGTCATCTTTTTTAATGACGTGTGCTTTAATGACACATAATGCAAGTCATACATGTGTGTCATAAATTTATGACACACAAATGTGTGCCATCTTCATTTATGACGAGGGCTTCAATGATGCTAAATGAGCGTCATAAATGCGCGTCATAAATGTGTCATAAATGTGCGTCATAGATTTATGACGTACAATTGCGTGTCATCCGAAATTCATGTCGGTGGCTTCAACGACAGGCATTTGTGTGTAATCCATACCCATAGATGACGCGCAATGCGCGTCATTAAAAGGGATTTTTCTAGTAGTGAGGAAACCAAGATCGAAATCAGTTATTGTTGAAACAACATAATCCGATTCGGCAGCGAATGATTGTCCTTGTAAGACGACGTGAATCTTGTAGTAAAAATATGTTTCGATGATCAGAGGAATTTGAGACAAAACTGAAGTCTGAGGTTGTTTTTACCATAAGTTTTATTTATCCCAATTTATTTATTTTTTTGTTTATTTATTTTTTTATCTCATTATACTTCTTTAAATAATTTAAAACCCCCTTTTATCTATATTACTATTTTTAAATTATTATTTATTATTGTATTATTTTAACTATTTTTTTATTTTATTTTATTCTATTTTTTAATCTCATCTGGAATTATATTCTTCTAAAATCAAGAGAGAGTTTTACTAAATCAGAAACACCACAATCCCTGTGGATTGACCCTGCTTCTCTATACTATTTTTTTCTTTCTATTTATTAAGAAGCCAAAATTATTTTGATAGCAAAACGATGATTATCAAACTGGCGTCGTTGCCGGGGACTAACGGCAAGTACTGATTTATTTTTTTAGTTTTTGATTTATATCCAGAAGAAACCCAGGTGAATTAGCATATCTAGATCTGGAGATCGAAGCACAAATATGAAGAATCCACACACAAACGCTTCGAGAAAAAAGAAAAAGACAAGAAGAACAAGAGCAGAGTTTAGAAACAGAATCAAATCTGGAAACAAACTCTGAAGCAGACACATACAACGAAAATCAAATTCTGATGGCAGAAGAAGAAGAACAAACGATCTGAGAGCTAGCCACATCACTTGTCACTTAGACGCCATTATGCATCAATTTTCCTAGTGGAGAGACTCCATTTCAATTAAAGGCAGGACTCATTTATCTTCTTCCCATCTTCCACGGCTTTCCCACTAAAGATCCGTACAAACACTTGTTGGAATTCTACATGGTTTGCACTAGCATGAAACCACAGGGAGTTACTGAGAATCAAATTAAATTGAGGGTTTTCCCTTTATCTTTAGCTAACTTGGCTAAAGAATAATTATTTATTTACCTCAAAATTCAGTTAATTCATCATGAGTCAAATTTTTCTTGACAGATTCTTTCCAGAGGCTTAAGCAAGTGAGTTACGAATGAGCATTCTTTTCATTCAATAAAAGAGCGAAAAAAGTCTTTATGACTATTGGGAGCGATTTAAAAAGCTTTGCGCACGTTGTCCGCAACACGGATTAAGTGAGCAACCATTATTTCAATAATTTTATGAAGGTCTTTTACTAATGAAAATGAAAATGGTAGATGCCGCTAATAGAGGAAAATTAGTCAACATGACCCCAACAACAACAAGGGAATTGATTTCAACCATGGCATCCAACTCTTAACAGTTTTCAAGTGAACCCAACAGACGGATTCACGAGATAAGTACATTTTCCCTTGAAAATAACTTAGACAAATTAATTAAAGTAGTTAATTCACTTGTTGCAGGGAACTCTAGAGCAATAAGAGCATGTGGGATATGCATGAAGCTAGACCATCCAACGGATTGCTGCCAGCTGATACAAGAAGGAGGTAATGCAGTAATCAATGTCGTAGGGAACTTTCCAAGTCCTCCACAAAGACAATACAACTCATACATCAATACTTATAATCCAGGATGGTGAAATCACCTAAACTTTAGCTATGCAGCAAATCAAATGTCAGTTTATCAACCAAGACCTCCTCCTCAACAGAAAACGCAAAAACCATCATTGGAGGAAATCATAGAAAAGTTAGCAATTTCACAAGAAAAGTTGGTTACATCCAAGGAAAAGCTGGTTGCATCCCAGGAAAAATTCCAAAGCCGAACTGAGACACATCTTCAAGAGTTGGATAACCAAGTGAGCCGACTAGCTCAAACTGTGGGAAAATTAGAATCACAAGGAAGATTGCCTTATCAAATGGAGTTAAATCTAAGAGATAATGTTAGTGCCATCACACTCTAAAGTGGAATAGTCATCTCACCTGAAGTTCCAGCAGAAAAAGTCGCACATCAGGAAGAACAAGAACCATGACCTACATTACGTGCATTAAAAAGTCCCTTCTAATCATACATGGATTTCTAAACAGAAGAGACTATCTTTAGATTTCATCCCGCACATCAGGATTAATCTTTATTTGCAAAAGGTTTTCTAAAATCTTTAATGTATGGTAGAGAAAAATAATAAAGGGGGGGTTTAAGACGTAAATTATGAATGACGTCTTGAAACCAAAGAAGGATTCCAGTTAAAAACCTGAAAAGGCGGCTCGAATATAAAAATTGTGCAGTTGAGGTGATCGCACAAATTCCTTGATAAGACATCACACAATCTGAGTGTGACCATGAGAGCTGTGAGTCAGAGAACACTTCCAGTAGAGAAGCATACAAGCTACCCCATCAAATCAGCGAAAATCAAAGAAACAAGAATGTCAAACTTTTGACTAAAAACAATAACCTGAGACATTTTACCATTTCCTCACCTAACCATTTTCCAAAGATAGCTTTGATCTTGACACTTGTCAAAAA